GACCATCCCCCCTGGGGGGTGATTTCTCGCTTTCTGTTGTCTTGTCTCTCTCTGTCTGTCTGGCGAGCGCATGCGCCCTACAGTGAAAATCTCTCCAAAAAAAAAAAAAAAAAAGCCTGGACGCATGACCATAACTGGGTCTAACCAGGGATTCCAAGGGGTTAATCATTTGTCCCCAGTCATCTGCCAACTAGCATCTCAGGAAATATGGCCTCAGGGTTCAAGCCTGTGGTCAGAAAAACCCGAAGGACAAGGAAAGCCACCTCACAGGCTCCTTTTTGTGGGGGCTGCCTCCAGTGAGCAAAGGGTCATGACCCCTCGCAAGGAGTGTGTCCCTATCCAAAGGCACAGCCCTCTTGCCCCTCAGCTGCTTTCCCAGCCACAAACCAGCCTTTCCAACCCCCAATACCTGCTTCCCAAGTGTTGGGCTGCTCTGAGGGGAGCATTAATTCAGCTAGGGAAGGCCCCAAGATTACTGCAGCTAAGTGCTGACCACTCTTCCGACAGAAGTTAAAATAATACGGTTTCTGCTTTGTGGTTACTTTTTTTTTTAACCTGGAGTGGGAAGCCCAGGCTGAAGAAAGAGGAACCCAAGACAACAGAGAAATCAATCTCTAACCCCAGCAGTCACTGCTGGTCTGAGTCACCTTCCAATCTCTGTGGTCAAGAATAGCACAGATGCCCTTGGGGTCAGGCATTTCCTGACCACTGGTTGGGCGAAGGTCCTTCAGTTTGGCCTGAGAGCTTCAGCTTGTCACAACTGTCAAGCCTCCACCATCATCACTACCTGACTTCTGCACAAAACAGAAATCAGGACAGTACGGGGACAGATTCTGAGTGTCCTCAAAATTAGACCTCTGCTCCCAGAGGAGAAGCCACAAAAGCTAAAGGTCTTCACGCAGGAATTTACCCATCCATAGTTTACATTTAACTGGTTAGAATATTCCACCTGACACACAGGAATTCCTTCTGCTTGTGCCTTTTTCTCCTATGTTTGTCACGGTACCACCCCCACTACCTGAAGACATCTTCAGTTTGTCTAATTTTTTTTTCCTCCTAATTTCTTAGCAGAGAAACCTCGAGCAGTCCTCAGAAGAATTATCTTCAGATGCCTTCTCAGCAGCTGGCTCAAATGTCCAACGACTGTGTTTCATGGAATCACAGACCTTGGAAATCCCTTTCTTCAACCTTCTTTTACAGAGAAGAATCCGAGACTGAGAGAGGGAATGTGACCAGGTTAGAAACCAAGACAGGTTGCCAGAAAAGCTGTGACCAGAATCTCGGTTTTCTGATGACCTCTCTATGAACTTTGTGTCTCTTTAGTATAAAACACCACTCCAAAAATGGACAGCTAAATAAATTCAAAACTATACTTCTTTGCCATTTCCACCCCCCTCCACACTGTATTAGGGTTCTCCAGAGAAACAAAACCAATCGTGTGTGTGTTGTGTGTACAAAGATCTGGTATAAGGAACTGGCTCATGCAGTTAGAGGCTGGCAAGTGCAACACTGCAGAGTGGGCTGGCAGGCTGGAGATCCAGGAGGGCCAATGCTATAGTTCCAGTACAAGGACCAGCAGGCTGGACACCCAGGACAGCAGAAGCAGTTCTTAACCAAAGGTCATAGGCTGGGAGATTCTTCCTTGCTCAGGGAATGTCTTTTTGTTCTATTTGGTTCTTCACCTTATTGAAGGAGGCCCACCCACATTATGGAGGGCAATCTGCTTTCCTTGAAGTTCACTGATTTAATTGTTAACTTCATCCAAAACACCCTCACAGAGACACCCAGAATAATGTTTGACCACATATCTTGGCACCCTGTGGCCCGGCCAAGGTGATACATAAAATGATTACACATACATAGCTGAAAAGCAGTCTACGATAATTCCTTCATACTTCAAAATTTACCCACAAAAACATCTCATGTTTCATGAAAACCATTACTATAGACAGCTGAATGGGTTGTCAGGGTATCTGTGCTGTTGAGGACAACAAGAAAGAACCTAGATTAACCTCAACTACGGCTGATCAGTGGTGCAGTGGACAATGCAATGCTCTTTGAGGCTGATCCACCTGGGATGGTTCTGGGCTCACATGCCAAACCCTCCCTGAATATGCCAGGTATGCTTGTAACCATGATCTGGGGCTCACTAGGGAGGGGGTGGACTGAGGCATCAAGACTCCGCTGGGGGTACACACACACACTCTCTCTCCTCCTCTCCCTGTTTCTCACGTATAGAAAAATAAATATTTTGTTTTGTTTTTTTTTTAAAGAAAAAGGGTAATCTTAATTAAAAACTTACATAGAAATGCACATACCCCTAACCTCCACAGCAGGAAAAGATGCAATTTCATAATCTACCTCAATGAAAGACAAAAGAGAAAATGGACTGAGAATGCACAAGGGGGTTTTGTGAGATGTGCGAATCAACAAACGGCCTTGTTCTGGAGTTGATGCTGGAATCTTTGTGAAGGTTCCAGAGGGGGCCAGATGACCTCAGGAAGTCTTTTCCAACCCAGGTGACTCTGTGATCCTATTTCCACTGGAATGAAAGTCCTCAAGAGAATGTTCATCATAGCAAACACGGGGAGAAGAGTGTTGAGGCCAAAGCGTTTGAGGGACACATTCAATTGCCCTGGCTTCCCACTCAGCTTCAACAGGAAAAACTGCTCTTGCAATTCTCTGCCCAAAATAACTTTTTGGTGTTATTGATAAAGAATGGCTGGCATGTTCCAGCCCAGTGCATTTCAGCAATGGGCTAAATGACTCCTCTGCATATAACCCACCAAGTGTCTTGCAAAGGGGAAGCAGGAATAAAACTTATGCCTGAGTTTTCCTGCCTAATTAAGTTTTAAACACCATAGCTAGACTGTCTTTAATATAAAAGGAAATATTTGCATATACTTAAAAACACCTTTTTAAAAATTCCATTCTTGGGTCACCCCTGGCCTAGTGCTTGAGGGAGGTTGATCCCACATGGCTGACCACAGTTCAAGTCTCGGCCTCTACAACCTGGGGAATGTGCCAAACATGTACACGCATGCCTCAAGTCCCAACAGGATGGAGAAATGGAGGACTGTAGTGTGACCAGGCCCCACTGGGGGGGTTCTCTCTCTCTCTCCATCTCTTTGTGTCTCTTGTGAGCATACAAGCCCCCGGCAATTAAAAAATTTCTATATTAAAAATTTTTTTAAAATTACATTCTTATATTACTCTTATTTCTTTAATAGATTATCACCAACACCTAGATCATAGGAAACTATACTTATTTAAAACACATAATCCATAATTTCAGCAATGACAAAAATGGGAAGAAAAAAGCAGAAAGGAAAGAACCTATAGGTAAAAAAAAAAGAGGCTATATCAACCAACCCCAATGTGCAGACCTTATCTGAATTTAAATTAGCAAACTATGGTAGCAAATTATAACAAACTAAAGTAATTTTGAATGCTGATTCAATATGTGCTATTAAAAAACTTCATTTTTAAGATGCTGGTATGAGGATTACATCTACAAAGAGTTCTCATATTTTTTAAGAGATATATAATGAAATGTTTACAGGTGAATGGATAGGCCTGGAGTATGCATCAACATAATTCCAAGGCAAAGAGGAGTGGAAGGGATACACATAAAACATACATTGCCCACTGTTGAAGGTAGCTTTATTATGCTATTTTATTTTTTGTATTTGCTAGAAAACTCTCTAATAAAAGTTTAAAAATGGAAAACGTAGGCAGCAGCAGATGGCATAACGGTTATGTGGCCGGACTCCCACACGGTCGACCGTGGTTAGAATCTCAGACCTCATGTAGGTCGTGTGTGCATGCATGCCCAAAATCCTGAGAGGAGAATGAAGGAAAAGGGATTGCGGCATGGCCTTCCCCCATAGAGGGTGATTTCTTGCTTTCTGTCTCTCTAGAGAGCACACTCACCCTATAGTAAAAGCCTCTCTAAAAAAGATCATGGAAAACAAATGAATTTCTTTTTGGAATTTAGGGTTGATTGTAGTCTTTAAATTCTGAGCAGAACACAATACAATGTCAGTGATTTCCATGAAAGGAATAGCCTGCTTGTACAAAACACACCATATCAAAAGTAATAATCGTGCCATATAGATAGACAGACAGTTGATAGACAGACAGTTACATGTTCACACAGAGAGAGAAGCACCTTGACAGAGTCTCATCTTCCCCTTGCTCCTCAGGATCCTGGGTGTGCACACACTCGGTGTGTTTCAGGCCAACCAAGCTGGTGGCTGTGGGAAGCAACCCAGTGGTTGGCCATGTGCTTCTAGCACTGCAGTCCAGTTGGCCACCAACTGTGCTGCCTAGGTTGGGCCTATGCTTACTACTGAACAGAGCACGTGGAAATTGTAGGAGGACAATGAAGTAAATAGACTAAAAACCTTAAGCTTGACGTTTTTACGGTTTTTTGAAATTCTTTTTCTGAGGTGGAAGAATAGCTCTTACATCCAAAATAGAATCAGAATCCTGTTTTCACTTTCATCTACTTTTCTTTTTCCTTTTTTAAAAAGTTTATTCATTTCTTTCTTTATTGAGACAGACTCTGAGGGAGAGAGAGATAGGCAGGCACTCCCAAGAGAGGTTTCATTGCCACAGTCTACTCCCAGTCTCAGACAGTCTGGATCACGGACACAGGAGAGCATGCCTAGTGTGTTCAGGGGGGCTTTGGGATTCAAACCATGACCTTTCCCATGTAGATCCAGATGCATTATCATTATACCACCTTCTGGCTCCTCATCTACTTTTATATTTCCAAAG